CAGTCCACACCAGAGGCAGGCTTGCTAAAAGTAAAGGCAAGAATGTGCATGCATCCAAATGCTGCTTTAGTGCTGTTGTCCTCCCACTTGCAATAAGGGGATGCTGCCTGGGTAAACTCCTGGGGCTTTGACTGAAAGTAGAAGTAGGTACCCCCAAACACACGTTTGTTGTTGTTTGTTTGTTTTTGAGACAGAGTTTTGCTCTGTCACTCAGGCTGGAGTGCGATGGTGCAATCTCGGCTCACTGCAACCTCTGCCTCCCAGGATCAAGCGATTCTCCTGACTCAGCCTCCTGAGTAGTTGGGGTTACAGGCATGTGTCACCGCACCTGGCTAATTTTTGTATTTTTAGTAGAGATGGGGTTTCAACATGTTGATCAGGCTGGTCTCGAACTCCTGACTTCGTGATCCGCCCGCCTCAGCCTCCCAAAGTGCTAGGATTACAGACGTGAGCCACTGCGCCCAGCCACACGTGGTTATTTGTAGTGCTGGGTCAGAACTACAGAACAGGGATGTTCTGTGTAAGGGAATTCCATTTATTAGGTCTTCTTTAATTTCTTTTAGCAGTATTTTATATTCTTCAGGGTACAAGTCTTGCATCTCCTTAATCAAATTTAATTCTAAGTATCATTCCTTTTGATGTTATTGCAAATGGAATTACTTAATTTCCTTTTGGATTGTTCATTACTAGCATATAGAAATAACTTATTTTGAATATTAATCATATATCCAACAACTTGATGATTTATTATCTCTAATAATTTTTGTGGATTCTTTAGGATTTTCCATATGTAAGATCATGTCGTCTAAGAATAACAGTTTTACTTATGCTTTCCCAATTCAGATCTTTTCTTTCTTTTTGTTGCATAATTGCTCTTACTAGAACTTTTGATACCAAGTTGAATTGATGCAATGAAAGTGTAATCCTAGCACTTTGGGAGGCTGAGGCAGGCGGATCACGAAGTCAGGAGTTCGAGACCAGCCTGATCAACATGTTGAAACCCCATCTCTACTAAAAATACAAAAATTAGCCAGGTGCAGGGCACCCATGTCTTAGTCCTGATTTTAGGGAGAAAGCTTTCTCTTTTACCATTATTGATGCTTTCAAAGGATCAACTTTTGGTTTTGTTGTTTTCTTTATTGTTTTTCTATTTTTTTTTTTTTTTTTTGAGACAGAGTTTCGCTCTTGTTACCCAGGCTGGAGTGCAATGGCGTGATCTCAGCTCACCTCAACCTCTGCCTTCTCGGTCCAGGCAATTCTCCTGCCTCAGCCTCCCAAGTAGCTGGGATTACAGGCGCGCACCACCACACCCAGCTAATTTTTGTATTTTTAGTAGAGACGGGGTTTCACCTTGTTGACCAGGATGGTCTCGATCTCTTGACCTCATGATCCACCCGCCTCGGCCTCCCAAAGTGCTGGGATTACAGGCGTGAGCCACCACGCCCGGCTGTTTTTCTATTTTCAAATTTTTTTGTCTTCACTCTAATTTTTATTCATTCCTTCCTTCTGCTAGGATTAGGCTTAGTTTGCTGTAACTTTCCTAGTTCTTTAAAGGCTAATGTAAAATTATTGATTTTAGATTTTAAAAACAGAGTTTTCTTCTTTTTCAAGGTGGAAATTTATAGCTATAACTTTCACTCTAAGTGCAACTTTCATGAAACCCTTAAATTTGAGGAAGTTATGTTTTTGCTGTTATTAATCACAAAGTATTTTCTGATTTTCTCTGTGGTTTATTCTTTGATCTATTGGTGGTTAAAGGTGTGGTGTTTAATTTCCACATCGTTTTGAAATTTTCAGTTTTTCTTCTGTTGTTAATTTCTAGTTTCATTCCATTGTGGGCATAGATGATTGTATGATTTCAGTCTTTTAAAATGTACTGAGACTTGATATGTTGCCTAACGTGGTCTATCCTGAAGAATATTTCATGTGCAATTGAGAAGAATGTATGTTTTGTTGCTCTTGTATAGTGTGTTCTTTGTATGTCCCTTAGGTCTAGTTGGCTCACAGTGTTGTTCACGTTCTCTATTTAAATTGATTTTTTTTTTCTGGTTATTATCTGTATTAGGGAAAATGTGGCATTGAATTCTTCAATTCTAATTGTTTAATGATGTGTTCCTCTCTGCAATTCTGTCATTTTCTTCACATATTTGAAGCTCTGTTGTTGGGTATATTTTTGTTTATGATTGTTATATATTCTCAATAAACTGACCCTTGTAACAATATGTTATGTCCCTTTTTTGTCTTGTAACAATTTTTGACTTGAAAAATTGTCCAGTTGTTCAAGGGGATAGTGGATAACATGATCCAACTACATGCTGTCTCCAAGGGATTCAGTTTAGATAAAAAGACACAAATAGACTGAAAGTGAAAAGATGAAAAAGATACTCCACACCTAATATCTTTTTGGATTGTTCATTATTAGCGTATAGAATGACTTATGGACCAGGAGTGATGACTCACGCCTGTAATCTCAGTACTTTGCAAGGCCGAGGTGGCTGGATCATGAGGTCTGAATATTGAGACCATCCTGGCTAACATGGTAAAACACTGTCTCTCCTAAAAATACAAAAATAAATAAATAAATTAGCCAGGCGTGGTGGTGGGTGAATGTAATCCCAGCTACTCAGGAGGCTGAGGCAGAAGACTCGCTTGAACCCAAGAGGCAGAGGTTGCAGTGAGCTAAGATTGAGCCATTGCTCTCCAGCCTGGACACAGTGCAAGACTCTGTCTCAAAAAAAAAGATCATGTCATCCATCATCCAAGGATAAAGATAGTTTGACTGGGTGCCATGGCTCACACCTGTAATCCCAGCACTCTGGAGGCCAAGGTAGGTGGATCACCTGAACTCAGGAGTTTGAGACCATCCTAGCCAACATGGCAAAACCTCTCTACTAAAAATACAAAAATTAGCCAGGCATGGTGGCAGGCACCTGTAGTCCCAGCTACTCAGGAGGCTGAGGCACAAGAATGACTTGAACACAGGAGGCAGAGGTTGCAGTGAGCTGAGATTGTACCATTGCACTCCAGCCTGAATGACCAAAAAAGAATATAGTTTGACTTATTCTGTTTTAATTTAGTTTTTTGTTTTTTTTTTAAATGAATTTTTACTCTTGTTGCCCAGGCTGAAGTGCAGTGACACGATCTCAGTTCACTGCAGCCTCCGCCTCCCAGGTTCAAGTGATTCTCCTGCCTCAGCCTCTCAAGTAGCTGGGATTACAGGCATCTGCCACCATGCCCAGCTATTTTTTTGTATTTTTAGTACTGACAGGGTTTCACCATGTTGGCCAGGCTGGTCTTGAACTCCTGACCTCAAGTGATACACCTTCCTTGGCCCCTCAAAGTGCTGGGATTACAGGCATGAGCCACTGTGCTTGGCCCAGATGGTTTTTATTTCTTTTTGTTGAATAATTGCTCTGACTAGAACTTTTGATGCAATGATGATAATCTCTTTTGTGTCGGGTATCTTTTCCATCTTTTCGCTTTCAGTCTATTTGTGTATTTGTATCTAAACTGAATCCCTTGGAGATAGCATGTAGTTAGATAATGTTTTGTTTTCCACTCTCTCAATCTCTGCCTTTTAATTGGAAAATTTATTCTATTTACATTTAGAGTAATTACTAACCAAGAATGACTTACTTCTACCTTTTCCTATTTGTTTCTGATATGTTTTAGGTCTTTTAGTTTCCATTTTCTCCATTATTGTGTCCATTTGCATTTAACTGATTTTTTTGTCGTGTGCAATTTTAGCTTCCTTCTCATTTCTTTTTTTGTGTATTTTTATTTTTTAGTGATTATCCTGGGGATTCCAATTAAAATTTTAAAGGTATAACAATTTAGTTTAAATTTATGCCAAGTAGAGTCTGATCCTTGGTTTGGAGAACTGGGCTCTGAGTGTTTTCTTTTTGCTGCCAACCTGGAAAAATTAAACACACATGCTATTTGGGATGTTTCTGTGATGCATCTTTGGAACATGTGAGCAAGGACTGGGTGTGCATGTACAGAATTCATGAGGAATAGATACAGGCATGTAATGGAAGCACCAATAACTGTGACATACACAAAGGACATGCAAATACATGGCATGAGCAAAGGCTGCAGCTCAGTTCTATGCATTATTTGGTACCTCTGAATCTCCTGCTGAGAGTTGAAGGTGTTTGCCATGAGAGTTTAGAGGTTCCCAGCAGACACAGCAGCCCTCTTCTGCACTGGACATACCCCAGAGGTGTTAGGGTACTATGCAGGATGGGGATTCCCCCAAGTCAGCAGAGAGGCAGTTGCTCAGGAGCTGGGCTTCAGGCTCTGCAGCTCCTGAAAAATATGGCAACTTTGAAGTGAGCCATCCGTGTATCCATCTGGTCTTTCCCCCAAGAATACCAGAGGGAAGAGCCTCTAAGAACAAAAGTGCAGGTGCTAACCCAGTCCTGTGGGGGAAGGTTGGGAGAGATACATTTGCTATATGACCCAGCAATTTCACTTCAAGGTACTTAAGCAAGAGAAATTTAAGTTACTTTCATAGAAAAGCCTGTATGTGAATATTTTAGCTGCTTTATTCATATCTCCTGGACATAGAACTATTGAGGTTCAGTAATTTTGGGGGGTGAATTTGTAACCGTATTTAGTTGTTATGGGAATAACAGTATATATACCAAACCTTTCACCTTCTAATTGGAGTTAATAATTTATCAATTCAAGTAAAATGTAGTCACCTAATGGCCACATAGACACTTACACCCTTCACTCTTCATTACAGTTGTCCTATGTGCTACATCTGCATAACTGAACCTTGACCTCTGAGATGCTACTATGATTTTTTTTTTTCACAAGTCTTACTTAGAGTCAAGAATTTAAGAGGAGAAAAATAGGGTATCACACTTACACATATATGGACTATTCTCTTGCTCTTACTTTATTCCTGAAGCTCCAAGCTTCCTATCGAATTGCATTTCAGTCTTTGTGTATTACTCTCACATCATTTTAGAACCAGTTGTCCAGTGATGAAGTCGCTTAGCTTTTTTTCCAAAATCCATGTCATTCATTTTTTTTTTCCTTTTCCTCCTTCAATCTTTTTTTTTTTTTTTTGAGATGGAGTTTCACTCTTGTTACCTAGGCTGGAGTGCAATGGCGCGATCTTGGCTCACCACAACCTCCGCCTCCTGGGTTCAGGCAATTCTCCTGCCTCAGCCTCCTGAGTAGCTGGGATTACAGGCACACGCCACCGTGCCCAGCTAATTTTTTCTATTTTTAGTAGAGACGGGGTTTCACCATGTTGACCAGCATGGTCTCGATCTCTTGACCTCATGATCTACCCCCGCCTCAGCCTCCCAAAGTGCTGGGATTACAGGCTTGAGCCACCACGCCTGGCCCCTCTTTCAATCTTTAAAGATATTTTTGCTGCATGTAGTATCTTGGGTTGATAGTTCTCTTTTTCTTTCCCTTTTTTTTTTCTTCTGAGACAGAATCTCGCTCTGTCACTCAGGTTAGAGTGCAGTGGTATGATCTCAGCTCCTGCAACCTCCACTTCCGAGGTTCAAGCAATTCTCCTGCCTCAGCCTCCTGAGTAGCTGGGATTATAGGTGCCTGCCACCACGCCCAGCTAATTTTTGTATTTTTAGTAGAGACAGGATTTCACCATGTTGGTCAGGCAGATCTTGAACTCCTGACCTTGTGATCCACCTGCCTCAGCCTCCCAAAGTGCTGGGATTACAGGTGTGAGCCACCACGCATGGCCAGTTATCTTTTTTAACATTTAAAAATGTTGTTCTGCTTTCTTCTGGCATCTTTCTGAGAAATTGCAAGGATTCATATTGTAATTTCCTCATGTATAATGTGATATTTTCCCCCTGTTTTCTAGATATTTTTCTTTTGTTTGATTTTGAGCAGGCTGTTACGATCTATGAGGGTGAGGCTTTTCTGACCTTCTTGGATCTATGTTTCACAAATTTGGGAGGTTTTCAGCCAATTTACCCTCATTTTTTTTTCTGCATTATCTTCTTTCTCTCAGGCACTCTAATGGGCAGAGTTAGAGATGCTGTTAGTGTCCCGCACATCTCTGCGGTTCAGAGGATTACTGCTCAATCTTTATTTCTTTGTTCTTCATATTGTATCATTTCTATTCAACTATCTTCCATTTCACTGATTATTTTTTTCTCCAGTCTATAATTGAGTCTAATCAGTATATTTTTTATTTTAGACATTGCATATGCATTTAAGATTTCCATTTGCTTCTTATTTATAATTTCTTCTTTTCCGCTGAGGACTTGTATCTTCCCATTAATTTTAAGAGTACTAACCTTTATTTTTATTTTTTGAGAATAGTTATAATAGACACTTTCTCTTTACATTTTAAATGTAATTATAACTTTAACTAGAATTAAATTTTAACCAAACTTCCAATTAAAATATAAATTGTTCCTTCCTGTGGGTCATTTCAAGGCTGGATTGTTGATTGTCTTTTCCTTGAGAGTTGGTCAGCGTTGTCTTATGTTCTACTGCATAATTTCAGAGAGGATCTGGACAGTTTGCTCATCATGTTGTGAGATTCTGGTTCCTACTAAAATCTGTCAGAGAATGTTCATTTTGTTGTTGTTGTATTGAGCATTCAACATAGTTTAGATGAAACCACGTTCTGTCTTGTTTTCTTTCATTTACTTTTTATTTATTTATTTATTTATTTTTTTTTTTGAGATGGAGCCTTGCACTGTTGCCCAGGCTGGAGTGCTGTGGTGCAGTCTCAGCTCACTGCAACCTCTGCCTCCTGGGTTCAAGCTATTCTGCTGCCTCAGCCTCCCAAGTAGCTGGGATTACAGGTGCCCACCACTACGCCCAGCTACTTTTCACATTTTTAGTAGAGACGGGGTTTCACTATGTTGGCCAGGCTGGTCTTGAACTCCTGACCGCATGATCTGCTCACCTTGGCCTCCCAAAGTGCTGGAATTACAGGCATGAGCCACCATACCCAGCCCTGTCTTGTTTTCTCTGGCAGTTGTTCCAGTCTCAGTGCAGTTTTCGGGCCATTGCTATGCTGGTGTGTCCACATGGCTCATGCAACACTCGGGTAAATCTGGCAGTTGAGTTGTGGTTTGTATTATAGTTCAGTTCTCAAAGCCCTTGCTCTGCTTCTGTGCCTGCATAGCTCAGGGTAATCCTAAGACTTGTGTTAGTTCATACATCCATTTAACGAATCCCTTTTAGCTATCTCCTCTTGCACACATCAGGCTTGCAGGGTTCTTTTCTCATGCTCCTATCAATGCTGCAGTCCCCTGTGCTGCTGTGCAGTTACATGCATCTAAGTCAGCCTTCCAAATGAAGTACAGAAAGAAACAAAAAGAAATTTCCCCGATACTGTTCCGACACAGAGATCTGTTTCCTCATCCTCTGCCCAATGAGTCAAGTGATTTCTCAGGGTTTTAGGTCCTTCTGCCACTCCTGAGGCTGCAGGACAGCTTTGCAACTGGGGAGAGAAAAACAAAATAAATCAAGGATGATCCCCTTACTTCTTGGTGTCCAGGAGACCCCTTTCCCACTAGCCCAGCTAGAAATTTATGTGGCTTATCACAGACTTTTTACTTTCAGTGCCTGCTGGACAGTTCCATGACTCCACCCGCCCTTGGATAAACCTGAAGAGGAGGAACATTAACCTACTATAATCACCCCACTGAAATCACCATTGCAAAAGTCATAACTGAGAAAATTATGACAGTGAAAGAGATCAGACTTAACAGACCACACCTTGCTTCTAACCTCTAACGTGTCTTAGTTCATTCCTGGGCATAGGCTGAACTAGCCTTGGGAAGGAATTGTTTATAGTTTAAATTCTGAAACAAAAGTGATAATAGTCGTTCCCTGGAAAAGACCCTTTTTGCCTAGGGACTGGTCTGCCTTTGTAGGACTAACATATTAGCTACAAGATTAGAAATTTAGGGGCTATGCAGCCTCTGGCTACAGGAGTCTGAACCTCCCCAAATTGTTTCTGAGAATAATATCACTGTTGCAAAACTTAAGATCAGTGCTTGAGATATTTTGCAGACCCTGAATTCTGTTGCAGCAGATGATACCACCAGGCCTGCAATCCCATCGAGGAACAGAAATCAGCAAGAACTCATTTCCAGACCTTGTGATTCCATCTCCAACCCGACCAGCACTCTCTACTTCCTGAGCCGATACCCACCAAATTATTCTTAAAAACTCTGGTTCCCAGCCGGGCATGGTGGCTCAAGCCTGTAATCCCAGCACTTTGGGAGGCCGAGGTGGGTGGATCACTTGAGGTCAGGAGGTTGAGACCAGCCTGGCCAACACAGTGAGACCCTGTCTCTACTAAAAATACAAAAATTAGCTGGGTGTGGTGTTGCGCTTCTGTAATTCCAGCTACTCAGGAGGCTGAGTCGGGAGAATCCCCTAAACCCAGGAGGCAGAGGCTGCAGTGAGCCGAGATCACACCACCGCACTACAGCCTGTGTGACAGAGCAAGACTCCATCTCAAAAATAAAATAAAATAAAACAAAACAAAATAAAATAAATGTTCTTTTTAAAAAAATAGGAAACCTCCTGAAATCCTCTTCAGAAAAACAGCCACAGATGCATGTTTTGCTCCTGCTTTTCTCAGAAACAACCTAAATCTGGCTTGATAAACCTCGACTGATACATTTGCCCCAGTCACTCATGTGACTAGCAAAAGGGCCCAGCTGCTCACTTCTTAGAAAGAAATCAAAATAATAATGAAATGTGATTCAAAAAGCAAGAATTTTGTCCTGGGGAGGTGGTTCATGCCTGTAATCCCAGCACTTTGGGAGGCCAAGGTGGGTGGATCATGAGGATGGAGACCAACCTGGCCAACATGGTGAAACCCCTTCTCTACTAAAAATACAAAATTAGCTACTTCGGAGGCTGAGGCAAGAGAATTGCTTGAAACCAGGAGGTGGAGATTGCAGTGGGCTGAGATCATAGCCACTGCACTTCAGCCTGGTGACAGAGTGAGACTCCATCAAAAAAAAAAAAAAGCAAGAATTTTATTAACTATGCGAGCAAGGGGAGGAGCAGAGAGCAGTTCCACTCTTCTGTGAGGAAAGAACACAGGGTTTTTAGTTTGTTTTTCTCACTCTGTTGCCCAGGCTGGAGGGCGGTGGGGCCCTTGGCTCACTGCAACCTACATGTCCCGGGTTCAAGCGATTCTCCTGACTCAACCTCCCGAGTAGCTGGGACTACAGGCACTACCACCCTGCCCAGCTAATTTTTTGAATTTTTAGTAGAGACAGGGTTTTACCGTGTTAGTCAGGATGGTCTCCATCTCCTGACCTCGAGACCTGCCCGCTTCGGCTTCCCAAATTGCTGGGATTACAGGTGTGAGCCACGTGCCTGGTTAAACATGGGTTTTTTGTTTGTTTGTTTGTTTTGTTTTTGTTTTTTGAGATGGAGTCTTGCTTGTCGCCAGGCCGGAGTGCAGTGGCACCATCTCAGCTCACTGCAACCTCTGCCTCCCGGGTTCAAGCCATTCTCCTGCCTCAGCCTCCCAAGTAGCTGGGACTATAGGTACATGCCATCAAGCCCAGCTAATTTTTGTATTTTTAGTAAAGACAGGGTTTCAACCTCTTGGCCAGGATGGTCTCTAACTCCTGACCTTCTGATCTGCCCCTCGGCCTCCCAAAGTGCTTGGATTATAGGCATGAGCCACTGCCCAGCTGAACACAGGGGTTTTTAAAGAGATGATTTGAAAGGAAAAGAGGCAGAGGGGCTGGGAAGTGTCAGGTGGTATGACCTGCTCCAGTGGCTTGTCTCGAATTATTTTTCTATCTGTGGAAGGGGCCGATGCCATTGTGGCTGGAGGAGGTGCATGGTTCATATCAGGATCTGACCACTGAAGCATCTAAGGAAATAGATGACCAGAGAAGTGAGTATGGTGTGTGCTTAGCAAGCAACTAGGTAAGTAAATGTGCATTAGGCATAGGGGCATAGAACAGGAAAAGAAAGGGAGTGGAGGTTCACAGCGCATTCCAAGGCTGGATTGCAAGAGGAGAAGAAACACATCTGCAGTTTGTCTCAAAGTTACATCTTCAGGTTAGCAGGGGAGAGGAAAGGGGAAAGAAAAGAGTTTTAAAATGTGATTTGAGGTTAGGTTGCTAAGCTGCTGGGTTATAGGTTCAGCGTATATTTGAGCATGTGGGGTATGTATTTTATTTATTTGTTTGTTTGTTTATGATTGAAACAGAGTCTTGCTCTGTCGCCAGACTGGAGTGCAGTGGTGCAATCTCGGCTCACTGCAACCTCTGCCTCCTGGGTTCAAGCAATTCTCCTGCCTCAGCCTGCTGGGTAGCTAGCGCTACAGGGGTCCACCACCATGCCCGGCTAATTTTTGTATTTTGAGTAGAGATGGGTTTCCACCATGTTGGTCAGGATGGTCTCAATCTCTTGACCTCTTGATCTGCCCACCTTGGCCTCCCAAAGTGCTAGGATTACAGATGTGAGCCACCACACCCAGCCATATATTCATTTAAAAAATCTAGAGTATCTTGGCCTGGCGCGGTGGCTCCTGCCTGTAATCTCAGCACTGTGGGAAGCTGAGGCACGTGTATCATGAGGTCAGGAGTTCAAGACCAGCCTGGCCAAGATGATTAAACCTGTCTCTACTAAAAATACAAAAATTAGCCAGGAGCAGTGACAGGCGCCTGTAGTCCCAGCTACTTTGGAGGCTGAGGCAGGAGAATTGTTTGAACTCAGTGGGCAGAGGTTGGAGTGATACTCTGTCTCAAAAAAAAAAAAAAAAAAACTAGAGTATCTTGTACATATCCTTTAATAACCTACTTTAAAAAACTTAATATATTTTAGATACATATGAATATGTACATCTACTTACATCCTTAAAATTGGTGATGATAAATATAATCAAGGAATTTCTATCAATATGTAAATGCTCTTCTCAGAAAAGGCAGGCTCTTTGCTCCTCTGGTTGATGGGGATGATGCAGATGGTGGCTTCCAGTTTTTGAGCATTTGCTGTGGGACCTGCCTGTGCTTCAAGCTCAGTACAACTTCTCCCATTTAACCTTCACGGCTTATGAGGGGGTCCTGCTAGGACCTCCACTGGAGATGGGAAAAGAGGAGAAAGTTGGTATCTTCTGAATTCTTTCGGCAGTAGGAGGAGGGAAGAGGGCTCCCGTACAGGGCATGCAGGAAAGCAGAAGGAGTACAGAGAAGGGGAAGGGACAGGTATAGTGCCCCCCCTGCTGAGCCATGTGATTGGAATGGAGCCTCACAGCAGAGATGGCAGAGCCAGAAACCCTAGGATCTGGTGTCAGAGTGACACAGGGCCCAGCTGCCAATGTGTGGGCCAGAGGTGTGGAGGACGCCTTGGCTGTACCCTGGCACAGAGCTTTCTACTATCCTGGCCTCTGAGCACTGGGGACTGGGGCAGTGGGGTCAGTGCCCTCAGCTGGAGGCACATGGAGCAGCTGAAAACACATGGAACAGAACTTGAAAAAGTTGGGCCCCTGAGCCCTTAGGACCAGGAGACCCAGCACCCAGGGGGGTGCTGCAAGAGGGAGAAGGACGCCCTCAGCTAGCGCACGGGGGCTTGAGGTCCTGAGGACTGTTAAGGGACCTCATCTGATCTCCCTGCTGGGGACACTCAGCATGCCGGCCTCCTTCCTGACTTCTCTGCCAACCTTTTCCTAGCCTTGAAACTTTCTCTTCCCAATGTCATTGTGACACTTCGTCAGTTCTCCTTCTAGTCCACTAGATGCTGCTGTGCACCCACCCAAGCACCAGCACCTCTCATTGCCTGGATCCTAGTTTGGGAGAGACAGGTGAGCTGCTCAGCCCTTTGGATTTTTCAGTGGATAGAATGGAGCCTGCAGTGTTTTCCAGGGCTCTTTGCCATTGTGGTAGTGATTTTAACTCCCGTGGCTGTAGCTTGCTGACCTCTGTACACAGATCGGCTCTTGTAAACCCCACAGGCCCTTTTGACGTGAGTTTCAGCACCCAACATATCAGGAAACAGGGTCTCAGAGAGAATGATGTGACCTGCTCACGGTCACACAGCATATACCTGGGCAGGCTGTGATTCAACAAAGGTGTTTTGTTGGGAGGAAATTGAGTCCTGTCCCCCTGTCGACTGATCGTCCAAGGACTGGCGCCTGATTCAACACCTTTTCCCAGCTCAGCGGGTGCCGCGCTCTTTGGGGAAGAATTGTAAGTTATTCTGATGTTAGACGCGACCCCCTTCTCCAGCCTGTTCCTAGTGCCGCTTCACCCTTCCGCTTGCCACCACCTGGAGGGCCTCTAGAGGTCCTGCGCAAACAGCTCAAGACGTCTCCATCTAAGCTGCGTGCAGTCTGGCCACCTGACCAGCTGTGCCAAAAGCTTGGCAATACCCCGACGTGACCATGCCTGTGCGTCCAACCCTGGTAGGCCGTAGGGGCACCCCTAGGGGTCCCCTTAACTCCCCTGCCTTTCCCCCAATCGCCGCGGGAGAGGTCCGTTCCCGCGCGCTAGGGCAGGTATGCATGCTCTTTGAGACGGTTTCTGGCCCGAGAGCGCCGGGAGGCGGGCTTTCGCGGCCAACCACTGGCGCGCTGCAGCGCATGGCACTGGCACAGAGGTCCCACGGCTTCAAGATGGTAGCGCTGGGTTCTGCGCTCCCGGCTCTGAGCGGCTTAGGCCCTCCACGGGCGTGACTTCGCTCTCGGGTCGTCAGTCTACAGAGTTCTCGCCCAATCCCATTCTGATTACCTTTGCCACAGTGTCACTACAGCGCGGCTGCTCTCGAATCGCGAAAGTTGACCCGCGCACCTCCGATCACATTTTGGGCGCCTGCGAAAGCCAACTTGTTTGAGACTAGTCTTTCTAGGAAGAAGAAAAATGCGCAAAACAAGTGACTTACCAGTGCCATTTGATCTGCAGCTCCAAATCGGGAGCATTGGGGCTAGGCGTGCCCTGCTTTTGGCTTGCCCCTAAATTGAAGTTCCTGCTTAATGTAGACAATGATGGTCTGTTGCTTTCTGTGATATTAAGTGTTCAGTTTTTCCTCTGGTAATGTCTCAGTAGCCTGAGTTCACCAAGCAAAAGGTCTCCAGGGACAAGCAAGAGAAGCCAGGGGTTGTGTTGCATTTTTTGGTGTGCTTTTCAAGTGTGTGAGCTATCTTTAGACTGGGTAGTCTGGGGACCCGTTTTCCCACAGAGCTAGGTTTATTCATTAGAGAAATTAGCATGTTGCCTTGTTGCAGGATGAATAAACAAATTTTTTAAAAGCCCTCTGTGTTGAGCCCACACTTCACACCTGTCACTGTCTCCCAGGCTGGAATGCAGTGGCCTGATCTCAGCTCACCACAACCTCTGCCTCCCGAGTTCAAGCGATTCTCCTATTCTCCTGCCTCAGCCTCCTGAGTAGCTTGGACACAGGTGCTTACCACCATGACAAGCTAATTTTTTTCATATTTTTAGTAGAGTCAGGTTTTCACTATGTTGGCCAGGCTGGTATCGAAATTCTGACCTCATGATCTGCCTGCCTCAGCCTCCCAAAGTGCCAGGATTACAGGTGTGAGCCACCACACCCGGCCCATTGCAAGTATATTTGTGTCGTATCAAGAAACCCACATTGTATTGTATCAAGAAACCCATATTGAAGCTCTCAGACCAGAGCGTTTGTGAGCCACTCCTGGATTTTGGATGAGGGATGGATGGGCTCAACCTCTTTTAATTCCTTCAGTGAATCTCATGAGATTTAAAACAAACTTTTACTTTAGGTTCAAGGGGTACATGTACAGGTTTGTTACATGGGCATATTGTGCAATGCTAAGTTCTGGGGTATGAATGATCCCCAGCACCTAGATAGTACCCAATAGGTAGGTTTTCAGCACTTGCCCCCTCCCCGCTACCTTCTGCAGCATCCCCAGTGCCTATTGTTCCCATCCTGATGTCCATCTGTACCCGATGCTTAGCTCCCACTTATAAGGAAAACTATGTGGTATTTGGTTTTCTTTTCCTGCTTAATGTGCTTAAGATATGGCCTCCAGATGTATCTGTGGTCCTGCAATGGACATAATTTGATTAGTTTTTATGGCTGAGTAGTATTCCATAGTGTATATGTACCACATTTTCTTTATCCTAATCCACCGTTAATGAGCATCTAGGTTGATTCTGTATCTTGCTCTTATGAATAAAACATACAGGGGCAAGTGTCTTTTTTTTTTTTTTTAGAATGATGTATCTCCCTTTGGAGATATGCACAGTTATGGGATCGCTGAGTTGAATGGTGGTTCTTTTCTAAGTTCTTTGAAAAAAATCTTCAAACTGAAAAAACTTCAGCCACTTTCCACAGTGGCTGAATGAATTTACAAACACACCAACAGTGTATAAGTGTTCCCCTGTCTCTACAGCCTTACCAGCATGTTGTTTTTTTGACTTTTTGCTGATAACCATTCTGACTGGTGTGAGATGGTATCTCATGATGGTTTCAATGTTCCCTACTCTAATGATTAGTGATGTTGAGCATTTTTTTCAAGTGTTTGTGGAGGCTGATTGTATGTGTTCTTTTGAGAAGTGCCCATTCGCGTCCTTTGCCCACTTTTCCATGAGGTTGTTTTTTGCTTATGGATTTGTTAAAGTTTCTTGTAGATTCTGGATATTAGACCTTTGTCAGATGCATAGTTTGTGAAGAATTTTTCCCATTCTGTAGGTTGTCTGCTTACTCTGTTGAGTTTCCTTTGCTGTGTAGAAGTTCTTTAGTTTAATTAGGTCACACTTGCCAATTTTTGGTTTGGTTGCAACTGCTTTTGAGGACCTAGTCATAAGTTCTTCCCCAAGGCTGATGTCCTGAATGGTATTTCCTAGGTTTTCTTCTAGAGTTCTTAAGGTTTGAGGTCTTGCATTTAAGACTTTGATTCAGAAATAAGCTGGATATAAAGACAAGACTCAACCATATTCAAGAGACTGGTCTCACATGTCATGACATCCACAGGCTCCAAATAAAAAAATAAAAACGTATCTACCATGCAAACAAACAAACAAAAAAAAAGCAGGAGTCGCTATTCTCTCTCTCTCTCTCTCTCTCTCTCTCTCTCTCTCTCTCTCTGACAGTATCTCACTCTGTTGCCCAAGTTGGAGTGTAGTGTTGTAATTATGGGTCACTGCAGCCTTAACCTCCTAGGTTCAAGTGATCCTCCCCTCAGCCTCCCAGTATCTGGGACTACAGGTGCACACCACCACACCTGGCTGATTTTTGTACTCTTTGGTAGAGATGCATTTTCATTGTGTTGCTCATACTGGTCTCAAACTGAGCTCAAATGATCCACCTACCTTGGCCACCCAAAGTGTTGGGATTACAGGCATAAGCCTTTGCATCTAGCCCAGGAGTTGCTATTGTTTCTTTCTTTCTGTTATGAAATGGAGTCTCACTCTGTTGCCCAGGCTGGAGCAAAGTGGCTTGATCTTGGCTTACTGCAACATCTGCCCCCTGGGTTCAAGCGATTCCCCATGCTTAGCCTCCCGAGTAGCTGGGATTATAAGTGTGCACCACCACGCCCAAATACAAAATAAAATGTTTGTATTTTTACTAGAGAAGAGGTTTCACCATGTTGGCCAGACTGGTCTTGAACTTCTGACCTCAGGTGATTCGCCTGCCTCGACCTCTCAAAGTGCTGAAATAACAGGCTTGAGCTGCCACACGTGGCCAGGAGTTGCTATTCTCAAACTTGATAAAAGAGACTTTAAAACAATCAAAATTAATTAGGACAATGAAGGCCATTGCATAATGATAAAGGGTACAATCCAACAAGAAGACTTAGTTTTCCTGAATACATTTGCACCCAGCAGTGGAGCAACGGGATTCGCAGCTACTTGGAAGGCTGAGAGGGGAAGATCCCTTGGGTCCGGCAGGTTGAGGCTGAGGCTTCAGTGAATCGTGACTGCACCACTGTACTTCATCCTGGGCGACAGTGAGACCCTGTCAAAAACAACAACAACAACGACGACAACGACGACGACTAAGAGCTTCACAGGGGGAGGTCCACTTGCATAGGTTGGGGAGTTCCTGCTCCCTGATGTCTCACAACCCACCCTTCTACCTAGACTGGCCTGGGCTGATGCTGACCATGAGGCAGATCATCCTGCACTGTGCACTGTGACTGGCAGGGGGCGCCAAAACTGGCTTTTCTTTTCTTTTCTTTTCTTTTTTGAGACAGAGTTTCGCTCTTGTTACCCAGGCTGGAGTGCAATGGCGCGATCTCGGCTCACCGCAACCTCCGTTTCCTGGGTTCAGGCAATTCTCCTGCCTCAGCCTCCTGAGTAGATGGGATTACAGACACACACCACCATGCCCAGCTAATTTTTTGTATTTTTAGTAGAGACGGGGTTTCACCATGTTGACCAGGATGGTCTCGATCTCTTGACATTGTGATCCACCTGCCTCTGCCTCCCAAAGTGCTGGGATTACAGGCATGAGCCACCGCACCCGGCCCATATGTCTTCTTTTGAGAAGTGTCTGTTCATGTTCTTTGCCCATTTTTTAATAGAGTTATTTGGTTTTTTTTCTTGTAAATTTAAGGGGTTTTTTTTAGATTATTATTATTTTATTTTTATTTTTATTTTTTTTTTGAGACGGAGTTTCGCTCTTGTTACCCAGGCTGGAGTGCAATGGCGCGATCTCGGCTCACCGCAATCTCCACCTCCTGGGTTCAGGCAATTCTCCTGCCTCAGCCTCCTGAGTAGCTGGGATTACAGGCACACGCCACCATGCCCAGCTAATTTTTTTTTTTGTACTTTTAGTAGAGACGGGATTTCACCATGTTGACCAGGATGGTCTTGATCTCTTGACCTCGTGATCCACCCGCCTCGGCCTCCCAAAGTGCTGGGATTACAGGCATGAGCCACCGCGCCTGGCCCTTTTTTTGTAGATTCTTGATACTAGACCTTTGTCAGGTGGCTAGATTGCCAAACTTTTCTCCCATGCTGTAGATTGTCTGTTTGCCTTGATAATAGTTTCTTTTGCTGTTCAGAAGCTTCTTAGTTTAATTAGATCGCATTTGTCAATTTTGTTTTAATGCAATTGCTTTTGGTGATTTTTGTCATGAAATCTTTGCCGGTGCCTCTGTCCTGAATGGTATTGCCCAGATTTTCTTCTACGGTTTTTAAAGTTTTGGGTTTTACATTTAAGTCTTTAATCTAGCTTGAGTTAATTTTTGTGTGAGGTGTAAGGAAGGGGTCCAGTTTCAATTTTTCTCCATATGGCTAGCCACTTCTTCCAGCACCACTTATTAATAGGGAATCCTTTCCCCGTTGCTTATTTTTGTCAGGTTTGTTGAGGATCAGATGAATTAACCCACTCTTCTACTAAAAAACAACAACAAAAAACCTCTAGTAAATGTGCATATTTCCTAATGAGTGCTGATATGACCATATCCCCTAGTTGTGATATCCAGTTTTTTGTTCATTTCTATAATGTGTCACTTACCTTTTTAATGTTTTCTAAGCCTCAGTTATTTAATGTTCAAGAATTTCCCAGGCATATCATATTTT